GCCACGCGGGAGGCCATCGCGCTGCTGCAGGCCATGCTGGAGGAGGTGCGGCGCAGCGCGGCGGAGGAGGAGGCCTCCATTCACTCCCTGTTCGGCAGCTTGCAGGTGAGGTAGCGGGACCGGCCAGCCACAGGCTGGGCATCCTCATCAGCCGTGACCCCGGTGCCATGACAGAGGGCGCCCCCCAGAGCCCTTGCGGAGTTTCTGGCACCAGCAGGGCAGCTGGCCTTGAACTGCCAGGCGTTAGCCACAGTTGCACCAGAGTTCAGAGGGTAGCCAGGACCTGCCCAGCTGGGGGGGGCGGGGGAGGGGGGAATGGTAGGGGAGACTTTCCCCAGGAAGTGACATTTATGGGGAGGGCACTGGGCTCTCCGGCAGGGGACGCTGCGGGAGGGCCCAGGTGGTGGGGCAGGCCCTTGGAGAGAGCACCAGCCTAGCCAGTGTGGCTGGGCCCAGGGAGTGGGAGCGATGGGAGGGAGGGGCAGAGCTGGGTCTGTGGTCAGCAGCAGCCTGTCCCTCCAGGACAGACTGGCGGAGAGGAAGGCTCTGCTGCTGCAGGCTGTGCAGAGGTGAGCGCCCGGGCCTCCACCCCTGCCCCTCGGCTCCACACCCCTGGCTCACAGCCTGGGCCCATCCCAGGGAGCAAAACAGCAGGTGCCCACCCGTGAAGAGGGCAGGGGCGTTCGGGGCACAGGGAGGGGAGGGTGGCAGGGAAGGATGCACACAGCTGGTGGGTGATGGAATCACTGGGTCCGGCCCCCTGGGGGTGGGAAACCATCCCCCTAGAAGCTGAGGCTGCTGCCCCTCCCCCAGCCAGTATGAGGAGAAGGACAAGGCCTTCAAGGAGCAGCTCTCCCACCTGGCCACTCTGCTGCCCACCCTGCAGGTAAGGGGAGCCGGGGTGCGGGGCTGGGCACTCTGGCACAGAGGGCCCCTCCCAGGCTGGACACCGAGCATTGTCCCTCCCGCAGGTTCACCTGGTCATCTGCTCCTCCTTCCTCAGCCTGGCCAGCAAAGCCGAGTTCCTGGACCTGGGCTATGTGAGTCCCCAGATCCTGCGGGGTCTTCCCCTCCAACACGGGGTCTCCCAGTCCACCACCGAGGGTTGGCAGCCTGTCACCTGGAGGCGGGACCAGGGGTCTCTGGGCTTACCTTCCCCTCTTCCACACCATCATCTACAAATTGGTTAGCGAACAGCTGAGCCCATTTCTAGGGGGAGGGCTTCCCCCCCCCAGTGGGCCGGACCTAGTGGTTCCATCACCCCCACCAGCTCTGGTTTGGTTCAGTGGATAGAGCATCTGCCTGCGGACTGAAGCGTCCTGGGTTCGATTCCAGTCAAGGGCACATGCCTGTTTTACAGGCTTGATCCCCAGTAGGGGGCATGCAGGAGGCAGCTAATCAATGATTCTCTCTCATCATTGATGTTTCTATCTCTCTTTTCTTCTCCCTTCCTCTCTGAAATCAATAAAAATATATATTTAAAATAAGCCCTAGCTGGTTTGGCACAGTAGATAGAGTGTCGGCCTGCTGACCAAAGGGTCCCGGGTTCAATTCTGGTCAAGGGCATGGACCTTGGTTGCAGGCTTCTCCCCAGCCTGGGTCCTGGTGGGAGGTTCAATGTGGGAGGCAATCAATTGATGTGTTTCTCTCACATGGATGTTTCTGTCTTTCCCTCTCTTCCACTCTCTCTCTCTAAAAAAAAAAAAAATCAATGGAAAAATATCCTCAGTGAGGATTAACAAAAAAAATTAAACTAAAAAATATATCCTATATAATAAAACCCTAATATGCAAATCGACAACCAAAGGAACTACCTGTAGGATTAACAAAAATTAAACTAAAAAATATATCCTATATAATAAAACCCTAATATGCAAATCGACAACCAAAGGAACTACCTGTGGAATAACAGGTTGCTATAATGCACACTGACCACCAGGGGGCAGATGCGCAGCACAGGAGCTGCCCCCTCATGGTCAGTGTGCTCCCTCAAGGGGAGCACGGCTCAGCCAGACGCCAGGCTCAGGGCAGGCAAGTGCAGCAGGGCGGTGGCAGGAGCCTCTCCCGCCTCCCCTGCAGGCGGGCAGTAAGGAGCCAGGGGTCCCAGACTGTGAGAGCCCCGGACTGTGAGAGGGATGTCTGACTGCCGGCTTAAGACCAGGGGAAATCAGGCCTAAGCTGGCAGGTGGACATCCCCCAAGGGGTCTGGGACTGAAGGGTGCAGGCCAGGCTGAGGGACCTCTCCCCTCCAGTGCACGAATTTTGTGCACCAGGCCTCTAGTATTTAAAATAAAAAATAGCCCTAGCCGGTTTGGCTCAGTGGATAGAGCGTTGGCCTGCAGACTGAGGGGTCTCAGGTTCGATTCCAGCCAAGGGCACATGCCTGGGTTGTGGGCTTGATCCCCAGTAGGGAGCATGCAGGAGGCAGCCTATCAATGATTCTCTCTCATCATTGATGTTTCTATCTCTATCCCTCTCCCTTCCTCTCTAAAATCAATAAAAATATATTTTAAAATAAAAAATAAATAAAAGGACAGCACAGCCTGGAAGGCAGCATAAGCCTCTACTCCCCCAAAGTGCAGCGTCTACGGGAGTCCAGCCACCCAACCTTTCCTGTGGATTTCGGGCGGGGTGGTGTGGGGGTTCCCAGACAGTCCCAGGGAAGAGTGGGAGCCTCCAACAGACACCCAGGTAAAGTGCCGTTGGGGCCTTCCCCTCCCTCTCATCCCCCTTACCCCGCCGCGCGCGCACACACACATGCACACACACACACACACACACACACACACACACACACACACACACACACAGCTGAGCGCCTCCCCTCCCCCCACCTCGCAGGAGCTGATGGAGAGGTTGCAGGGCATCGCTACGCGG